CTAAGCCGAATCTGTACATTGAAAATTTTTTGAGAAATCTTTTTGAAATAAAAATTATTATCGATACAGAGGCTGAATCTATGGTTTATAGAATTTTTGTCTGTCTGTCTGTTACCGCATCACAGAAAAATCACTGGAAGGATTTTAATGAAATTTAGTATGGTGATAGCTGATTATCCGGGTCAACATATAGGATACTTTTTACCGCGGGGCAATGTCTTATTTCTGAGAAAAAATACAAAAACTGCAATGTAAGAGTATACTAATATGTAAAACATAAGAATTCGTTTTTGATCATCTGGACGCGGGCGGAGCCGCGGGCAATGCTAGTTGTTTATATCTTACAACATCATACGTACATATAGAGAGTATAAAATCAATATAACACCTCACACCATAGCCTCACGCAACAGAATGCATATAATGGCGCCCAACTTGGGGCAAGTTCACTCTTACGATGATCGCAACGAGTCCCTCGAGCCTTCAGACCCCAAATGCTATTGTCGGGATTATTGTGTACGTGGCGTTGTTGGTCTCTATACTTTTGTGTTTACTTTTGGAAGAAACATTTTAATGGTATTAAAAAGGGTCAGAGATGGAACAGAAAATTCGTCGACATTTCACTTGAGTTTCGCAACTTTGATAAGCTAAATAAAATAATTTTAATTTTTAGTAGTATTTCAGTAGGTATATGAATGCCATTGTAAGCAAATAATTTATTTTAGGAAACATTAAAGATTAGTGACTCACCCTCGCTCAGGTATCAAAGGTGCTCCCCCATAAAAACTTTTATCCCCATTTTCACTCCCTTTACGGATAATTTAGAGGATAAAAACTATCCTATGTCTTTTTCAAGGTCTCAAACTATCTTCTTACCACATTTCATCTAAATCGGTTCAGTAGTTTCGGAGCATATGCGGTACAAACAAACAAAAAATTATTTGCTCTTAATAATATTAGAATAGACTTTCGACTTCGACGAAGTATTCGACTGGATCAAACAAGTTAAGCGTTACATAGCGTTGGTATACACAAATAGCAGTCTAACTTGATATCTACATTTAATATTGTTCGGACCGGATGTATATTTTAACCAGACAATTCATTCAAACAAGCTCACATATTAATTAAAATTTGAACTTTAAAATAATATAATCAAAAGTTCAACCCGTCGAGTTGGTCTAAAGTTACAATATGAGCTTTTCGTATTTGCAGCTCCATGTAACGGGGGATTAATTATCTTTTCATATGCGTAAAAATAATATGAAAAAGTCTATATATAAATAGACAAAACCAAAACCATCCAGTGCCTTCTGCTCTGTTTGTCAACCTATTTTCTTTTTCTTTGTTTAGTAGCTTTTAACGAGCTTTTCAATAAAATCTATACATATAATAAAATTGTAACTAAGTCGAATCTGTACATTGAATATTTTTTGGAAAATCTTATTGAAATGGACATTATTATCGATAAAGAGTCCGAATCTATAGTTTTTAGAATTTTTGTCTGTCTGTCTGTCTTTCTGTCTGTCTGTCTGTCTATCTACCGCATCACGAGAAAACCACTTGACAAATTTTGATAAAATTTAGTATGATGATAGCTGGTTATCCGAGTCAACATATAGGATACTTTTTACCGCGGGAAAATATCTCATTTCTGACAAAAAATACAAAAACTGCATTGTAAGAGTATACTAATATGTAAAACCTAAGAATTTGGTTTTTAGTCATCTGAACGCGGGCGGAGCCGCGGGCAATGTTAGTATATACATATAATAGATAAGTAAAATCTATTATTGATTATGATCGAATTTCCAACACTAGGCGAACATTATTTATAGTAAAATACCTCTACAACGTAAGCCCGCGAACCATAAACTACATACATACATACGTACATATATACATTATACATATATATGTAAGAATGAATATTAACATTCAAATTTATCGTTTCCATGGCTTCAGTGCCCATAAAACAAATAACATCAATCTAAATAAATGGGTTTCTTTCTTTATGAAGCAATATAGCAATAGAAGGTATCGACGAATAATTGTTTTATAGAGATGATAAAATTTAGAATGGACATTATATGTACTCTAGTACAGGTATGCAGAGACTTACATGTTATATATACAATATGTACTTCTACCAAGTGCATAATACTATAATATATATATATATATATATATATATATATATATATATATATTGTTTAAAGCCTTTTAGTTTTGTCCAGTTAAAAAGGAAGTTTTTATGTAAATCCGCGGAAAAATCCGAAAAATATAGTTTTATTTAAAATGTCAAATATTCGTGTGAATTTAAGAAAGTATTAAATAATATACGTATGTTTTTGTGATCGCTTCTTTAAAACCTTCATTTTAACATCCCATTGGATAATTTTTTTCGACAAAAAATTTCAAAGCCATACAAATTGCCGCCTTAGATCCGACATTTTAAATATTCATAATATCCTTGTAGCCTCTTACGCTTGCGCTATAAAGAAGTCGACATGTGCATAATTAAAATCGATTAAGTAATTACGACGAAACATAGGATCGTGCATATGTAGGTACATACATACATACATACAACATACATACATACATACATACATACATACATACATACATACATACATACATACATACATACATACATACATACATACATACATACATACATACATACATACATACATACAGGTCAAACACTTAACCCAAAAATTGAATATATAAATATATAACTATAAAAATATAACTATAAAAATGGTACTTTAGTAAGATATTTCTCATAAATAAAATGCAGACTCAAAGTGATCGGTACAAAGGAAGATATAAACTGGAACACTATACAAAGTATTTTCATTGAAAATTGTCTGAGTTTTATTGAAATTTATGTATCTATAATACATGATATGTATTATACATTGAAATAAGATGCTAAGTAAAGTATTTCATTCATATATTACTAGCGACTCTTATATACTCTTATATACTCGTATAGATTTCTCACAGGTGAGATATTTTTCCCAAGTAAAAATGATCTTATATATTGACCCGGATAACCAGCTATCATCATACCAACTTTCATAAAAATCTATCCAGTGGTTTTCTCGTGATGCGGTCACAGACAGACAGACAGTCAGACAAAAATTCTAAAAACTATAAATTCGGCCACAGTATCGATAATTATCGATTATATATTATTATAATAATATCTATTTCATTAAGATTTTCCAAAACATATTTAATGTACAGATTTGACTCAGTTAGAATTTTATTATACGTATTGACTGGTGGCATATCTACGCTTCGCTCGAGTGCGGTAGCGCTAAGCGGTGATGGATTGTAAATCGATTTGTAATAATAAAACGTTATTATTGAAATTATATTTCTTTTGGAACGTTTGGAAAAAATATGAGAATAAAATTTTTACGATGCGCGCGCACACCGACAGTCAAAAAGCGACATGATGAAGTTAGCTGATAACTGTTTGTTGACAAATGATATACATATAATACAATTAATTAGTGATTTGTTTTAATTTAATTATAATATTTTTATTATTAATTTATCATTCCTTTTACGAACAGAGACCTGTGATATACGATGATAAAGATAATTTTTTTTGTCTACTATCTGTACCAGTTATAATTAAATAATTAAATTAATATTATCACAGTCACGAGGATCGAACATTCGGGCATAGTAATATAGCACCATACTAAAATTCCACATTTAAAATAGTGACATATCTATAATAGCATGCCATACTGGTTAATTCTATGGCAATTTAAAAAAAATTTGGTTGAGTATATTCTTTGAAGTCATTTTTTACACAATTTCATGCAACGATTAGTTTATTAGTGGTAATTCAAACTAATGAACATAAAGCAACATCCCTTGTCCCCCCACAGAATGCTTACACTACGTTTCTACACCCTACATGGGGGACCTATGGGTTTAGAACTCGATTACACTCATGGGACTGGAATACAATTCCTTTATTTCATTAGAAGCTATACAGAAAGTTTTGTAAATGATTGCTTCACCGAATTTTTCCTAATGAAATATTCTAAGCAACCATTTTTAACCGACTTCCAATTCCATAAAGGAGGAAGTTCTCAATTCGTCGGAATCTTTTTTTTATGTATGTTCACCGATTACTCGAAGCCGCATGAACCGATTTGGATTTTTTTTGTTTCAAATATAATAAATACATATATATATATATATATATATATATATATATTACGTATCGAAATATATTAGATTTGCTTTGCATCGGCTGGCACCGACTTCGAAAATATCTGATTAGGTATCTTTTTTCAATGAATACCTCCGTTTAGTTATTATTTTACATGTTAGTGCCTGGAAGTCGGTTTTTATTTTTTGTTCAAAAGTTTTTTCTGACTTTCCATAATGTAAAGCAGTAGGCGAGTGCACTTCATCTGTGCTTACCGGTTTTTAGTAGGTATACTCTTATATAAGCTTCACTTATAACTAACTCATGCTGAAAATCGATTTTAACTTACGTCTAATTTGTGCAAGTTCGAATCGATTTGAAACTTTGTCAGTATGTAGAATTCGAATGACGTTATACCATCAGGCTGATACCATCAATGATAGAACCTAGAAATGGGTGTATTGAAATTCTTATATAATCTTCTAGTAATATTTTTGTCTTTGATGAGTCCATTCGATTCATTTTGTTAAATCCAATAAATACATTACTGTTGGACAAGAGCATGTTTTTATTAGCAAAACTCAACCTAGCTTCGCTTGGGTTCGTCCCTAGGGAAAAACAAAAACAAATCTATCGCACGGGATTTGTACATTTTTCCGGGATAAAAAGTAATCTATGTGCTATTCCAGACTATAATCTATCTCTGTGCCATATTTCCTCTAGCCCATAAGATTTAGCCCAGACTTTTCGTTGGATAAGAGACTACACGATTTTACATGAGTTCTTCAAATATGTATATACAATGTACATGATGATGTTCTCCTGGCCGATTCCGGCTACGGCGGCCAATCTCATTGAAACTAGCCAACTGTGCAGGAGATATTATAGTGCACAAGTGTACGCGCAGACACAACGTGCACTCTCTATTCCTGTCACTCTCGTACATCGGTGGGACGACCACTCGTCACGACCAGTGAGAGTTAAGGCGCAGGACCGACGGCTTTACGTGCTCTCCGAGGCACAGGGGTGCACCGCCAACTTCCCAACTGCGGGCTGTTACTGTGCCTTACTTTACAGAAAAAGTCAATAACTAAACTTTTTTTTTTTTTTATGTCGGGAAATGCATTTACGCATACCACCTGATCCCCCAGGTGGTGATGTGGGGCTCACCGGCTAGAAGAGCCGGTACTACCCACTAAAACCCGACATTCCCCTCCCCTCCGCCTTAATGGGACGCCGCAGGATCGCTTGCGCCTAACTACTACGGCGCCCCGGCGGCAGGTCTGCCTAAATAGGCAGACCACCAAACCAATGGGGCTGCTCCACAGTCAACTCTGCTACGCCAGAGAGGTACCCGGAGCAGCCCCATTAAACCTAACCACCGCCCACCGAAGTGGGCCACCTCCAATCGGCTGCAGAGGACAGGGAGAGCGGCAACGAAACACCGACACTCCTCTTCCCCTGCAGCCCCACCGCGTCCGCCATCGAACGGTGGCGGCCCCGTCTAGGCCGCGGAAGGTAGGGAGAACGGCGCACCGAAATACCGGCACTCCTCTCCCGCCGCGGCCTACTCCTCCGCCGGATGCGGGCCTGCGACCACAGTCCCGCAACCGGCACCCATCATCCGGTTGTGGGACCAAGCGGTCCCACCACCGGTGGCCGCAACGTCTTCGGCTCGAGGCCTAGACGAGCGGCCCCATCCAAGCCATTTGGTCCGCGCCGGATTTCTCCGGTACCACCCGCCGCCCTAAGCGGGTGGCATTCCCCTATCCGCCACCTGGGGACGCGCCCGGTAGGAGTTGGCTTCTCCCCCGGGAACTAAACTTGTCCCGACCCGGGTCTCGATCCCAGGACCTCCGAGTGTGCAGCCGTACATGCTAGCCACTACACCACCGAGGCAGTTGCAGCATGTACATACTACATACATTCCCAAACACTTAACCGATCGTCATAAAATTTAAAACGCAGGAAACCTTGATAGACTGTAGAGAAGGGCATAATTATAGTTTTTAACCTAGTTAAAATAAATGTAGTTCCCGTTAGAGGTTGAGCGAAGCGAGGACAGCTTGATAATTAAAATATAAAAAAAAAGTTCTTACACCGACTTAAAAATTACTAAGAAAACTTAGAAACTATTCTCTCTTAGAAATGTGAATCTTCTCTGAAATATATATTTAACACGACTAAGGTAATAATAACTTATACAAAATAGTTTTCCTTTTTGAAGACGGTAAAAATTTTTTTTAACTTTAATTGTAACTTTTTTAGATTTACGCGAATATTTGACATCTATTCTATACAGACAATAAAATTCTGAGTCTAATCTGTATATTAAATATTTTTTGGAAAATCGTATTGAAATATTCATTATTAATTATTATCGATACAGAGGTCGAATCTATAGTTTTTAGAATTTTTGTCTGTCTATCTGTCTGTTACCGCATCACGCGAAAACTACTGAAGGAATTTTGATGAAATTTTCTATGATGGTAGCTGGTTATCCGGGTCAACATATAGCATACTACTGCGGAAAAATATCTCATCTCTGAGAAATCTATTCTAAACGTTAAAACGTAGCTTTAAATAAAACAATTTTTTTAAATAAAACTATCTTTTCGGATTATTTCGCGGATTTATTTTGATTTTTGGTTCCCGACGTTTCGAATGCTTTACAGCAAACACGGTCACGGGAGAGACTCTCGGAAAAATAGTTTTATTTTATTTGTAACTTTATAGCAATTTTATTCGAACCAAACATTTTGCTTAGTAAATAATTAATATGGTGTCTTAAGAAAATATAAACAACGTCCTTAAATATGTAATTCAACATCCAATCTAGTGGGCACGTTAAATATGTGGCGAAGGCGCCGCCGCGCCGCCCGTTTTTACGATCGGTAAACGTCTACCTTGTATTTCACTTGAATTTTTAATAAGGTAAGCCTTGCCGAGCTTTGTGGTTGTACATCACTCATCGAATGCAAACCTAACACATATTTTGTTATATTAAAGTTGTTTGCGATATCTATATCTATCTATACATATAATTAAATTCTAAATGAGTCAAATCTGTACATTAAATATTTTTTGGAAAATCTTATTGAAATAGCCGCATTATTATCGATGCAAAAACCGAATTTATAAATCTATACTAAACGTTAAAACACAAACTAGTAGACGGCGTAGGGACGTACCCGAGCGATACACAGATAGACTATGAACTATATAATAGAGCAGCTATACTCAACCTGCGGCCCGCAGGCCGCATGCGGCAGCATCAAAAATCGCATTATAACATATCTTTGTTAAAAAAGTAACTACATCGTTAACTTGGAATTACGTTTTCATTAAGACCTAAATAATTTTTGCTTGCGGCCCTCGACACCATGACTGAAACGTGTTTGTTGCTCCTATAAAAAAAGGTTGAGTATAGCTGACCTAGAGGAACGCATAGGCTATGGATAGTAAAAACATTGGACGAATTCCGTAGCATGAAACATTAAAATAAGTTTATATATCTTCCTTTTTTTTAACCCCCGACGCAAAAAGAGAGGTGTTACTCGTATAAGTTTGACGTCGATGTCTGTCTGTCTGTGGCATCGTAACTCTCAAACGGATGGACCGATTTCGATGCGGTTTTTTTCATTTGAAAGCCAGTTTCCTTGCGGTGGTTCTTATGTTTGGTTAATATCGGTCCAGCAGTGTAAGAGTATTAGCTCTTTTCCAAAATGATGTAAGGCATTTTGGCGTATGATTACTCGTTTAAGTGCTTCACGCGTGCCAGTGTAATCGTTAAATGACAATTAATTTGCGTAGGAGGTTATTAAAAATTTTAATTTATTAGCACGAGTGAAGCCGCGTGTTCTGCTAGTAAAAGTATAGATAAAAGTCCTTAAAAGCCTATAAATATAAAATTTAACCGATAACGTCTATATCGGCAAAACCCATAATATGTAATTTTCAACAGGCTCGGTCAATTAAAAAAATAACTATTTCATTCGAGCCTTATCGCCTGAACTAGCACCTGTATAATGGTGCTCAAAAAATAATATACTGTATAAAACGAATGATAAGACCTTATGGCTATAGTATTAAAGTTGGAAATTCATAAAAAAAGTAAACAAGGGTCACGCAGACAGAACAATAGGGAAGTTTGTTTGACAATTACATTAAGAGCTCTCGCAATTGTGCTAGGCTGAGGGGTTGTCGCAAAATATTGTTTCTTTAGCTATTTTTTTTTGGGAAACGTTATTGTATTTTAAACTAATATCAATTGCTTGTATATTGTGAATCTGCCTATATATATTTTGTTGATTTATCTATGTTACACAGCTATAGCTGTTGCTGTAGCTTTATGCTATAGTCTTGGCAAAACAAATATATTGTACATAAAAATACTTTTTTACAATAAAAGGTAAAACCACTCCAAAATCTCTTAAAAGCATTCCACCCATTGCGGTCCACCGCATATAATATCCATATTTTAGTAGCAGTATCATCTATACTAACATTATAAAGAGGCAGAGTTTGTTTGTTTGTTTGTCTGGTTGAACGCGTTTATATCAGAAACTACTAATCCGATTTGATTTTTTTTTTCATTAGATAGCTGGTTTATTGAGAAAGGCTAGGATATACATAGAATAGGTTACTATTCCGGAAAAATGTACGATTCCCGTGGGATAGAATTTTTGTCTAGGAACGAACCCGAAGCGAAGCAAGGGTGAGTCGCTAGTTTCATTATAAAAAGAATTACTAAAACATTATATTACTAAAATTTTGTAGTGACGAACAGCAACTAATGACAGCCTGGAATTTTTTCTTGTTTATTTTTATAAAGTACTACTTCAGCTACATTTGTAATATATTTTCTGTTAAATAGTAATTATTTTATCTTTTATTCTATGAAAGGTAAGTATACATCTTCACTGCAGAAAACTAGCACTTTTTAGCAGTCGTCCCTCTGTCTATGACACCGTGTGCAGGTGACTCCCATACTTACGACTTCGTTCATGGGCTGATATTAAAGTTTTCATTGTTTGTACGAACGCAACTTTCTATATATTACACTGTCTCGTATTGTAACTACTGCATGGATTTAATTTTCATAGAAGTTTACAATAACCCTTGATAAAACATTAGAAATGCGAAAATAAGTTGCATGTTTGACCGTTTGTTACTTCTTAACACTTTAATGTATTGACCAATCGAAACAAACAGCATTATAAGACTTTTAGGCCTTAATACCCGAAAAAAATATAAGTAATTGTTATTATAACAACGTGAAAAAATATAGTGCCTACGTTCAAGAATCGCCAGTTCGCGGGAAAGCTACAGAGCTATAGAGCATTTCAATAGAACTGTGATCCAAGCTTAAGCTTAGCAAAAGCGTAAGGAGATTTGGAAAGTAAATAAATATGACTCTTCCCTGAAAGAAATCCCTTACATTCAGTCAAGCAAAAGTCAGAGCACACCTCCATGAGATTAGTGAATATTATCTTAGACAAAAAATAAGTATGAAAAGATTTAATTCGACGTAGAGAAAGCACCTGCTTCATTCTCGGGCCATAGCCCATTGCTAAAGCGCTTTCTTGGACAGCAAAATGTCGCGGGTTTCAATCCGAGTCTTGCACATCTGAGATTTTCTTCTGCTACTCTCATTTTAATTGACGAAACGCCAGAGTCCAGCAGTGGAAAGTGAAATTTGCTTTTATACTTTATAAAAATTAAATAATACTCAATCACTGATCCATCCATCAAGAAATCTCGAAAAGTATAAATGCTACAAACTTGAAGTTTGGCAAGTAGATCCCTTATACGGAATAGGTATCTGTTAAGAAGGTATTATTGGAAAATCAAGCCCTAAAAAAAGGCTAAAAGGGGTTGGAAGTTTGCAAAAAAACATTATTTTAATAAACTACGCGAGCATAGCCGTTATCAAGCACTAGTTATTATTATAATATGTATTAATTTTACGTGAAGTAAACTTCACACTTACTGACATAAACATACAAGTACCTGGGCGACCGAGCTTCACTCGGAGTTTTTGGCCAAAAGTACAATTTTCTTTTTATTTTGGCTTAAAAACAAAAA